ATTCAGAATATGTAAATACTGTTTATAATGCAGGAAAATAGGAGAAAAAAGGAATTAAGGGGCCATGAAAGGCTCTCTTTCTCTAGAAGTAGAAGAGATATAATGTTTAAAGGGTATTTTAGAAATCAAGGGATTTATTTCTAGAACCACAGAAATCACAAGGTAATACAGTTTCCGTTCCTGGAGGCCATGGTGAACCTCTTTAGGGTGAGAATTTTTTCACCAAGGGATGAAATCCTTGACTTGGTCAAAATCAAGACTTCTTCCTTCCACATGAGTTGGCATTTCATCCTCAAAATTCAGAAGTTCCCTGCACCCGCTTACACCATTGCCCTGCACCACTGTTCCAGCTAGATGCTTTTGAAAATTTGCCCTAATGAGATGGAGGGAGCCCTTTAGACAGAAGGCAGACTGCCTTCCTCTGTACAAAATGGGACTGAATGCAAGTTCCTGGAATAAAAGTGTCCTGAACACCTGCTGTTGAAATTCGTCATTCTAACCTTCCATCAGCACAGTTTTTCCTATTTCAAATGATTTATATTGCTTTTGGGGAGACTGCTTCATTTTTATATACAGGAGTTCAGCAGTGCCATGAGTGAATTTTTACATTCTTTTCAACAGATGAAAATAAATACCTGAAAGTCTTGGTTTACAAAGCTTGGCTTCCATTAAAATGTAATTACCTCCCTTTTGTGCCTTATAGATTAAGAGTGGTGTGTGGCTCCTGTTTGACATAATTACTTTCCTTTGCTGCTCACATAGTAAGAATGAGGCTCCAGAAGAAAGATGACTGTTTAAAGAGGGCTGCTGCCATTCCAAATAGCATAGAGAAAGTTCTGCTTATCAAATTAACTTGTTTACTCGGCAAGATCCTCACTGGAATTTTTTTAACCAGTCATCACAGACTCACAGAAGTGGGTCCAGTGCTAATCTGTGACCACACAGCTTTTAAGCCTGCAAATACTTCTTAGGCATACAACTATTCATAGGATTATTCAGGTGATGAATGATTAGATAATACAGTGTGTGTGCTGCACAGTTTGCTCTTGCAGGGCTGTTTGTACAGTGCTACATAGGTGATTTTTATCTTACTCAAAGTCCTCTGTGTTCCAGCAGGGAGCAGTGGGTTGCAGTACTGGGTTGCTGTACACTGCAGGTACTGCCAGGCATTCCGAATTGGCTCTCTGCCTGTGTCCTGGTCCAGGATCCTGGCCTCCATCTGAGCAAGAACAGCTTTAGGCAGACTCTCACTGTGGGGTAAGAGAGAAACAGGAAAGTGTATACTGTAAAACAGACATGAAAGTTGAGAACTGTTTTGCCATCCTCAGTGTTCTGGAGCATACGCAGCTCACTCTTCCGGTACTTTTGTTTTGCTGCAAGGATGGACAGGGCTGGTAAATATGTGAAAGAAGCCAGAGAGAAGACATAACTGCTGCTACTGCTTTCCTCAGTGTGGCTGTGTGCTGAGCCACGCTGGAGGTGGAAGGACAGCTTGGATGGGGCAATAACACATGGTGCGCTTGGAGCAGGAGGCAAACATCTGCCCTCGTGTGTTACCCCCGACTGCACAGCCTGCTCGCCTCCCATGTTGAGAGACAGCGAGCGACAGCACTCACTCCCACCTCAGTGCTGACCTTGCTATGGGTATCTGTAGGAGAAATACCTTTGATAAGGCATTAAATGTCTTTAATGTGTTTAACTGTAAATATCAAATGCATTTATGTACATTTTGTAAAGTTTTATATTGAGATGTTCCAGTTTGTGTTGAGATGTTCCATAAGTCAGATGTGGCCCGTTAGGATAATTTTGTCACAGTTAGGTGTTTAGCCTGGTTCAGCAAGTCCCAGAACTAGTTGAAATCTGCTCTTCTGAAATCCAGGGCTATCATCATTTTTGCTTTGCTCTTTCCTCTCTGGATCCTGACCTCTACTACAGGTAACTCATAAGATCCTTAGAGCTGGTGTCTTGCTTAACGCTGAAGAGATTGGACCACTAGTTTTAAAGCACATTGGCGCAGTGAGTAGATTGAGATTAAAATTCTGTGGGGGCTGCCCTGAGCCTGAATTTCATCTGATCAAGTCCTTTTGTCATAGTAGCTATCAATATTAGTTGTAGCACTTGTGTGCAGCAAGCACATTCCCTGTAGCCAATGCACAGCTGATGCACAGATCTGCAGCTCTGCCGTTGCAACTCTTGTATTAGTCAGGCAGGTGTGATGAAGGAGGCTGCTGCTGATCCAAAGTGCTTGCAAAAGGCACTGTTTTGCTGGGAAATATTTGAGCAGTTATCTTTTCTTTTTTTTCTTTTTTTCCCCTTTATTTATTTATTTATTTATTTATTTATTTATTTATTTATTTATTTATTTATTTATTTATATTTTGGGGTTTTTTTTTCCCCCAAGATGTATTGTAGGAAAGCAATTGAAAAACAAAGAGTGACAGTATTGGATTTCCAGGAACTCAAGTACCATTATTTATTTATATCGCCACAACTCTGAGGGTGCACGTCATTTCACGGAGCAAATGTGCTTTGCATCAGTACGGCTTATCTGTCTGAAAGACTAAGCTGTGGTGGTGTGAGTACCTTTAATATGAGAGGAATTGCATCCGACACACGAGGGTTTTACTTTGCCGAGTGAATAATCACTTATCTTTCTAGGTGGACAGGTTTGGCAGTTTGGGTGATACGCAGATTATCACAAGGTAGACAACAGGTAGGAACTGAGCTTGTGCTATCAGGAGCACATATAGACCCTCATGAGCTAAGTGCAAATGAATAAAAAGTGGGTTGTCTCAAGTCAAGTGAGGATGGGTACCTGATATAATCACAAGACTGCAGACCAAAGCCTTCCGCTGGTGGTGACTTTGCCCCTTACATGAACTGCTCATACTCCTCAGTAGAGTCTTATTAGTGGTCTGCCCAGACTCTTTTATCTCCTTTGTTTTTAGTAGATTTAGCTGCAGTCTGCAGAGTGCCTTTCTGCTTGTGCTGAGCCTAAATAGATTTTACAGATTCAAGTGGTGGTCTGATTGATAAAATGCTGCTGTTTCTTTCAGAGGAGGCAGTGTTGGAGGGGAAGAAAGAGGGGG